ATGCAGGGTCGTATTTGTGTGCCTAATGTGGATGGACTTCGTGAATTAATTCTTGAAGAGGCACACAGTTCCAAGTACTGCCAAAATGTATTAAGATTTGCGGCAATATTATTGGTGGAGGAGAATAAAAAAGGATATAGTTGCATATGTAGCTCGGTGTCTGAATTGTCAACAAGTTAAATACAAGCATCAGAGACCTGGTGGTTTGCTTTATAAGTTAGAAATTCCTGAATGGAAATGGGAGCGTATTACTATGGATTTTGTTGTTGGACTCCCACGGACTCAGAGAAAATTTGACGCAGTTTGGGTCATTGTGGACAGGTTAACCAAATCAGCACATTTCATTCCAGTGGCAGTTACCTATTCTTCAGAAAGGTTTGCTGCAATTTACATTCGTGAGATTGTCCGCCTTCACGGTGTGCCCCCGTCTATTATTTCAGATCGAGGTACGCAATTTACCTCACATTTATGGAGGACTGTACAACGTGAGTTAGGCACGCAGGTGGAGTTGAGTATAATATTTCATCCACAGACAGACGGACAGTCAGAGTGCACTATTCAGATATTGGAAGATATGCTTCACACTTGTGTTATAGACTTTGGAGGTTCTTGGGATCATTTCTTGCCACTTGCGGAGTTTGCTTATAATAATAGCTACCAATCGAGCATTCAGATGGCTCCATATGAGGCATTATACGGAAGGCGATGCCGTTTGCCAGTTGGCTGATTTGAACCGGGAGAGGCTCGGTTATTGGGTACCAATTTGGCACAAGATGCCTTGGATAAGGTCAAGATTATTCAGGATCGACTTCGCACAGCTCAGTCTAGGCAAAAGAGTTATGCCGACCGTAAAGTTCGTGATATTGCATTCATGGTTGGAGAAAGAATATTGCTCCGAGTTTTACCTATGAAAGGTGTAATGAGGTTCGGAAAGAAGGGCAAGTTGAGCCCTAGGTATATCGGACCCTTTGAAATTCTTGAAAGGGTGGGTGAAGTAGCCTACAAGCTTGCATTACCACCTAGTTTATCAGTGGTTCATCCGGTATTTTATGTGTATATGCTCCCGAAATATCATGGTGATCGGTCCCATGTGTTAGATTTCAGCTCAGTCCAATTGGACAAAGATTTGACTTACTAGGGATAGCCGGTGGCTATTTTAGCCCGGCAGGTCCGACAGTTAAGGTCTAAGAGTTAACCTTCAGTTCGGGTGAAATGGAGAGGTCAGCCGGTAGAGGCATCTACCTGGGAGTCCGAGTCGGACATGCGGAGTAAATATTCACACTTATTCACCAGCTCAGGTGCTTTTTTCTAACTTCGTTCGATGACGAACGTTTGTTTTAGAGGTGGAGAATGTGATGACCCAAAATGTTATCTTTAAATTTAATAAGTAATTCTGTGTTCTAAGACCTTGAAAAGCATAATTTATCATTCCTCGACTTGCGTGCGCAGTCCGTACAATTTTCCAAAAAGTTTTTATATGAAAAATGGATTAAAATGTGAAATAGAGTCTTAAAACTCAAATGAGTTGACTTTGGTCAATATTTTGAGCAAACGGACCCGGATTAGTAATTTGACAATTCCAGTAGGTCCGTATCGTGATTTGGGACTTGGGCGTATGCCCGGAATCGAATTTCGAGGTCCCTAGCCCGAGATATGGAATTTTGATAAAAAATTAAAAGATGAAAGCTTAAAGATTTTTAAGAAGTTAGTGATGTTGGATTTATTGATACTAGGTCCGTATTTTGGTTCCGAAACCCGGTATAGGTCCACTATAATATTTATGACGTTGTCTGTCAAATTTGGTGAGAATCGGAGTTAATTTGACGAGATTCGAACTTGTCTAGGTGTTATTTTGGCGATTTGATCGCGCGAGCAAGTTCGTATGATGTTTTAGTACTTGTGTGCATGTTTGGTTTGGATCCCCGAGGGCTCGTGTGAGTTTCATATAGGATACAAGATGATTTTGAACTTAGAAAAATCTGGTTTTCTGCAACTTCAGGCTTCTCATATTTCCTTCATCGCGTTCGCGAATGTACTCTCGCGAACGCGAAGAGCAAACTGGGTTGGCTGAATTTTCCTTCTTCGTGAACGCGAAGATTGGGTCGCGAACGCGAAGCTATAGGGACTTTACCCTTCGCGAACGCGACCAGCTTAACGCGAACGCGAAGCTTTAGAGGCATGGGGGAGGGGTCAATCATTCTTCTAAGTGAGTGCGAGCACTTGCACGCGAACGCAAAGGCCAGGGGGGAATAGCCTTCTCGAACGCGAAAGCCACGGGCTGCTACTCATCGCGAATGCGACAGGCCCTTCACGAACGCGAAGAAGGCCTAACGCATGTGACTTAAAACATAACCAAAATGGGAATTTTCCCATTTTTCACAAACCCTCGTTTAGAACTCGATTTGGGGGTGATTTCAAAGGAGTTTTTTACGCTTTCGAACTGGGTAAGTATTCTTTATCATATAGTGATTGTATTTCATAAATCTAAGTTTATATTCATCATTTATTTCGGATTTACATGGAAGAAATTGAAATTTTTATAAAATCTTCCAAAAACAACAATTTAAGATTTAAAGGTCCATTTGACATCGGAATTTGATAATTTTTGTATGGTTGGACTCGTATCGGAACGGGTGTTCGGATTTCGTAAGTTTTTCTGAGATTTAAGACATGGGCCCCACTGTCGAATATTTTAATGAATTTCAGATTTTTATCTGGAAAATTAGTAAATTCATATGGAATTAATTCCTATGATTCGTATTGAGTATATCAAATTGTTTGTGAATAGATTTGAAGCTTTTGGAGACAAATTTAAAAGGAAAAGTTGTGATCGAGTAATTGATTGGAATTTTCAAAGCGAGGTAAGTGTCGTGGTTAACCTTGACTTGAGGGAATAGAACCCCTAAACTATTTATTTGTTATTAATAAATTTAAAAATTATTTTAAAATGGATAATATTATTCTAACATTGGCTTGCCTAGCAAGTAAAATGTTAGGCGTCATCACGGTCAGAAGGTGAGAATTTCGGATCGTGACAACTACTTATGATGTATCCTTTCTTAAATGACGCCAGATCATACAACTGACTTCCCTAATCCTTTTCTAATGCTGAAACATAGCTAAGTAATTAAAAGTTGTGCTTAGGCGTGGCAATTTGCGTCCAAATCCATTTGATCCGCCCAACTTGCCCGAGGTTGGGCTGGTATTGATCATCTCATTTGTTGAACTCAGTCCATCTTAACTCAACTCATTTCAGCCATCTAAAATTGCGCTAATTTTCAATCCAAATTGATACATGAGTAATTTTGCTAAAATACCTTTAAAATAATAATTATTTTTTGTTGGATATGTTATATATGGCCATAACAAAAGAAAAAAAGTCTTATTTGATAATTAAACAATTCATAAGAAAATAATACACATTAATTATAGCTTGGTAAGAGTTGGATGGGTTGGGCTATGACCCAAATTTTAGCCCAACTTGACCCAACTCATCTCAACCCAAGTTACTTTTGGGCGGGTCAAATGACAAGCCAATTTATTAACTCAACCCATTTTGACCCGCCCAAAATTGACCCAACCCGCCCATTTGATTCCCCTAGTTGTGCTCTTTCGAAAAAGTTTAAGTTTTCCAATAAGATGATCACACGTATTTAACATTGTATGTTCTGAAAATGGGCCACAATAGACCTACCTTGTTAAGTAAGGTGAAAATAACCTCACAAAACCTATGGCTGAAGGTTAATTAGTCCGACCTAACTACCATGTTATGTTAGAGCACAAAATAAATGTATATAAACCATGTTAATGCACAAAAAGAGTTGCTCTTAGTGAGAATTGAACTCTTATTTCGTGCATTAACTCGTTACTTTCATTGTAATATTTTAACTTCATGATCAAAGTTTTGTAGTAGAGAGTTGTATTTCTATTGCCTCAATAAAGGTGATGGAGAGAGAGGTCACTGGTCAGTTTGCAGCTTTTGAAAAATTATTGTATTTAATAAAAAAGGAAATTGAAACATTCAAAAGGGGCTTATGTCTCATAGATTGAAACTCGCTTATGCAATAAGAAAAAACTTGTTAACTTCAAGGAAGAAAACATCACTTTCCGTAGACAAAATGTTGATTTGATTTCAAAAACAATACGAATTGTTTGTCTCGAACGACAGAGTCCTTAACCTCATAGTTATCGCAAGCTGGCATTTCATTTTATGAAAACAAAGGATTCACTAAAAAACATTGATAAACACAAGAAGAAAAATACATGGAGTACAAGACACAAAATTGCTTTTAATTAAAGGGATGTGCATTTTAAGATATGGTATCCTTGTTTTTTTGAAATATTTACGGCACCTTTTAAAAAAAAAAAAAAAATCTAGGTGGAGTGAGCTCATGAGTATATAATAAAGGACGAGAAAGTAGAAGAGGAAAACTTTTTTGCTACATTAATTGGAACCTTGCACTGAAGTAATATAACATGGCAACAATTAGTTAGCAACTAAAATCTCGTATGTATACTGTTATACATTTGTTAGTTTCATAGATACGCCTAAAAATAAATTATTATCTATAATTTTAATTGCCCTTTTGCGGGTGACTAGTAATGGTCTTATCATTGTGTTAAACTTGATACTGATCATTTATGTGTATCACTACACTAAACACAAAAAATAAAAGAAAAGAAAACATAAGTATATATCGACGTAATGACATGAAAACTTATATAGCTTGCCATAAGTGGACTAGATAAGTTTCTTGTAAAAGAAGGAGAATAAATCTATTGCAATATTTGTCAATGTCTAGACATCTTTCGTGAATTCCTATAGTTGTTTTGCTCTTTAAACCTTTGAAATCTACGTTGTCCACATTAGTATATGTCTCTAGTGTTGGCTTAGAGAAGTTTGAACGCCTATAAATTTAATTTCTCATACACCAATTCATACAACTCAATAATCCCATCCTATTTGATTGCTTTCTTTGTTAACCTTAAAATACTATACAATGATTAGATATGTCGTATTTCTCGTTCTTCTCTCAATTTGGGCCAGTGTTGAAGGTCGAAGTATCTCTCAATTCTTAACAGAAAAATCGACAGGGACCAAATGGGCTGTCCTAGTTGCTGGCTCCAATGGATGGTGGAACTACAGGCACCAGGTTATCATTGATCCCAACTATATTTCATCCAAATTATCTATTTTTTCTAATCATTATGGTGGTTAAATGACATTATCAGTTACTTTACAAATTGGTAAACATCATTCACAAGTTTGAACTAAAACATGCTTATTTTTAGACTTGATTGAGGCCCTAATTACAAATAGAGTTCCTATCTTACTCATTTATGTTTGTATAGCAAACGGCAAACTAACCATGTATAAAACCACGTAAAGAAATGATAAGAAACTTCTCACGAAAAAAAACAAAAAATTAAGAAAAGTTTTAGAAAAACAGGCCCGCTTCAAAATTTTAATACACACCCGCCAGAATTTTGAAATATTAGAAATTCTGATAATCACCAGAATTTTGAAGCACAAAAAATTATGACGATCACCAGCATTTTCAGTCATAATATTGAAAAATTCTGGTGATCCATTAGGATTTGTGACAAAATTCTGACAATCACCATAACTGTTACGTGCTTTAAAATTCTGACAATTCAAAAAGAATATGTGAACTTTAAAATTCTGGTGAAGCTTCTTTTTTAAACTTTTGTTATAGGAGTCAAAAAAATCAATAGTGACACCGTCCTATTTCTATCATTCTCCCAACCAAAATAAAAAAAACAAAAGGTAGTCTAAATTCATTTTTGGAAAATTTTAATAGTTTGGTTGATTAAGTCAACTTTTACCTTGTACGTTGGTGAGAGTATGATTCCTCGCTTTGTAATTCTCTTTCCCATTCGCCTTCCCCTCCCCCTCCCGTTCCCCATATGAATAAAAAAAACGTTTTATTAAAATAAAAAATAAAAAAAGATCCCATCTTTGATCTTTTATTCTCCATATAGAACTAGTAAAAAAAAGGAAAGCATTTTATTCATCTAGTTAATCATTCCGTAATAATTTCAAATAATCAGACATTCCTAAACCTTTTTCTTGTATAAAATTTACCTTAAAAGATAGTAAAACAGGCTATATTTGGCAGAGAAATATTAGTGTTATTTCTTATTTTTCAGGCTGATGTGTGCCATGCTTACCAACTACTGAAGAAAGGGGGTCTCAAGGATGAGAACATCATTGTATTTATGTACGATGACATTGCTAACAATACAGAGAACCCTAGACCTGGAGTCCTCATCAATAACCCACATGGTCAAGATGTTTATCAAGGTGTTCCTAAGGTTAGTTTTTTTTTCTCTTTCGAGCTAAAATTCCTTAAATTTTTTCCCCAAGATTATAATGTTTAATTGCTTATGAGAGGTTTTTGTTTTTGTTGAGGCAGGATTATGTAGGTGAAGATGTTAATGCTGATAATTTTTTCAATGTTATACTTGCCAACAAAAGTGGTATCACTGGGGGTAGTGGGAAAATTTTGGACAGTGGTCCAAATGACAATATTTTCATCTATTATACTGATCATGGTGGCCCTGGCATTGTTTGTAAGTAGCTTCTTCACATTATTTCTCTTTGTTTATTGTCATAATGGATTATATTCACATACTAAATTGAAGTTTTCTTGTGGGAATTTCCTAATTTTGGATTATCAGTTCACTATCACCTGGTGTTTATCGTACTGGAAACTAATCAAAGTTATGTATATATTTGTTTCATGCTTTTACTATTATCAGCAATGCCAACTGGACTTGTCTACGCGAACGATCTGATTAACGTGTTGAAAAAGAAGCATGCTTCTGGGACATATAGTAAAATGGTAACTTTCTTATTTCAGTCTTTACTATTTAAGGCCAATCGTTTCCTTGGCACAAACATTTTGAGGTCTAATTTTATGTTTGGATGATGTTTTTCAATCTTCAGGTGTTTTACTTAGAAGCTTGCGAGTCTGGAAGTATGTTTGATGGTCTTCTTCCTGAAGGTCTAAATATCTATGTCACGACTGCATCAAAACCAGATGAAAACAGTTGGGGAACGTATTGTGGTTTGGGTAGTGGTGCTTGTTTAGTTGAGTGTCCTCCTCCAGAGTTTGACGGTGTTTGCTTGGGAGATTTGTACAGTGTTGCTTGGATGGAAGACAGGTATGCACAACTTTATTCTTGTCCCTTCGGGAGTCTGATTCAGGATTTAAACTTAACGGCTTCAAAATTTAAAATACATCCGCTCCGAGTCTCTCCTCATGTAATCAACGAGCAAAAATAGTTTGTTGATTTTAAACTTCCCATATGATCTACTGTAGCTTGTTAAAAAAAGTTCATTAATTTCTCTTTGTAATTTCTTAAATGCCGGGAAAAAAGCAATAAATCAATACACGTATGTATGTCATAATTTGTCAGTAGCTAAATTATAAGCTTGTGGCATAGTTAGGAAGGAGTATGCCAAGTAAAGATTCTTGTATTTTTCTTTGTTAATTCTAGGATGAACATGACAAGCTTGAGAGTCCATCGCTACTGTATCATCTGAAATTCAAATCCGTCGTTTATAATGTAATTTCTCCGGAGGGTGTTTTCAATTTCGGCATTACAAGCTTAGATTGGGTTGTATCAAATGTTTAAAAGCAGTTTTCCATTGAACAATCGTAGACATTGAAATCGAGTACCCTCGTGCATAGCCTTTTATGGAGTAGTGGAAGTTTAAAAGATGATAATTCCACTTAGAAGGCATTCAAAATTATCTTTATTAATTAAGTCAAACTGATTGCTGTTTGCAACTCTGAACAGTGATGTCCAAGATCGACAAACTACAACTTTGGATAACCAGTATGACAGGGTAAGAGCCAGTAATACTTTCAACTATTTTAATTTGTAAGCAACTTGTTCAAAAACACGAAGATCATAATATTGTCACAGGTTCAAATCATAGACGCTATATTGGTTTATAGTTTTTTGTATTGCCTGTTCTAGAGGAAGACTAATGTTTTTCATTATGGACATGCTTAGATTGCAAACAGAACTGCAGCCAACCTAACACATGGTTCCCATGTCATGCAATATGGTGATATGGAGTTAAGTGTTGATGCTCTTTTCCAGTATATGGGTTCTGTTTCCACAAGCCATAGTCAAGCTCCCTGTCCCATGGCATCTGCTCCCAGTCCCATGGATGCCGCGTCATTCTTGACATCCTCAGAAAATGTGGACCAACGTGACACTGAGCTTTTCTACTTGACATCCAAAGTATGTTGTTTCTGATGTGGAATTTTCTTCCTTGCCCACACGACGATTGATTCTGATTCATTTTAACTAGTTACTTGGTATGTGTGTCGCACGTATTATAAGATAGAAAAAGAGAAATTATGATTCATTCTTTCTTAATGTTGGCAGTACCAAGGTGCTCCTAAAGGATCTAATGAGGAATTTGAAGCTAATCGGAAGCTTAATGAGGTTATATCACAGAGAAATCAAGTGGATAACAGCGTAAAGCGTCTTGGAGAGCTTCTGTTTGGAGTTGAAAAAGGTAATGAGGTGCTGCAGAGTGTTCGACCTGCTGGACAACCACTTGTTGACAATTGGGATTGCCTTAAATCCTATGTAAGTAGTTAGCCTAATTATAATAATTTTGTGGTACTTTACTAGAATTTCTCTGTTGATTCGTTTGTTGAGAATGTGACTAGTATTTTCTCATGTATAGGTCAAGACATTCGAGGCACATTGTGGAAAACTAACTGCGTATGGAAAGAAACATGTACGTGGTATCGCCAACATCTGCAATGCTGGAATTGAGAGTGAGGAGATGGTTGCTGCAACTGCACAAGCATGTTCAAGCTAACTAGTAGAGGGTACTCTTTGCAAAGAGATTAATAAGTACTCCATATGTTTGGCCAGTTTGTGACATGCATGGCTGCAAAATTTCACTTTAAATAGATAGCAACGATGAGAATAAAATGACTGCCGAGAAGCACATGTTGTCCATTCTCCGTGTAGTAAGTCAAATAGAAACTTCTTAAGAGTTCGTATATGTAATTCTTGTCCTTTTTATTTAAATCAAAATCATGAATGAAGAAATAAGCCAAACATCCAACATGTTTTGAATTATCATTGAGAATATGAATATTTTGCCCTTTTCACATTTGACAAACCGTCATGTAGTTATCACAAAGATCACAAAGAGAAAGAGAAAAGGTAGAAACATAACCAGAAACAGTTGGAGTAATTTAAAGAATTTATGCAGAAATAGCCTCGACGATAACTTTGGTACAAGTCTTGCCAAATTGACAAAACTTATCTTGTTCACAAGTAATGTCAAGCGGAGCATAGTTTTGAGACAAATAGTCCAAAAGTTCCGATGAATGGGCAAAACTTGCCTTGTTCACAAGTTATGACGGGCGGGCATAACGTGTACAAATTGCTCTCAAGTTCTATCGAACAACAAAATTTGTCTGTATTATTCAATTCTTCATAAGTTTTGCTGGACCGACAAGACTTTTTTATTACCTTTATTCTATCTATTTTTTTAACTTTTCACAAGTTTCGATGGATAATGGTGTATACGGTCAAAACCGGGCCCACCCGATTTTATTGTTTGATCGAGACCGGAAATTTACATCGAAGGATGACTCCGAAGTGGATTGAATCGAGGCACGAAGACAAGGTACCGAGATCGAGATTCGAGGCACTTGCCAAGATCGAGGCCGACCGCAATCGAGACCAAATGAGACAGGCATCGAGCAATACCGAAGATAGCGTAATAACGGAAAGGCGAGATATCCGTGACTGGTCGAAGATCATGGCGGAAATCTTGGAACGGATCGAATCAAGAACGGTTGTTTAGTTAATCATGGGATTTCCTTTTGTTATTAGAATTGTACCATATATAGAATTCCTGTACTATATAAAGAGGGGTTCTAACTATTTTGTAGGGGGACAACTGATAAAAAAGCAATATAATTTTCTTCCTCATTCACACTCTTGTTCTTCAGCTTATTGTGTTCTTATTGTCCTTACATCAATCAGTTCGAGGATACTCTAACTCAAGGGTTAAGTTCTACTCAAATACGGGTTTGATTTATTTTATTGTATAATTCTATCTTTAATCTTCATATTTATCAATTGGTATTAAGTGAAATCACGTGTCCTTAAATCCACGTTATAAATTTAATTGTTATCCAATTTCAAGGGTAAAACAAATGGATTGACAAAACTTGTATATGTTATTCAACTATAACAACGGCCAACGAACTCTCGGAATTGCAACTGCCATAACTTCATCTTAATTATTCCCAACTGGGCATTGCGAGTGCCATTTTTTCATACGAAAATGCCTTCGATCCCACCACAACTTTAGACTACGCTGAAGCCGCAAAAAAAGTATAAGCAGAAATGAGTATACCAACCACAATTATGAACTTTCTCAGCCTTCAATACGTCTACTTAATCCAAACTTATTGATTATCAGGATATGCAGTAACTGTACAGGAACCAATCATATAATGCATGCCTTATCAAGATAAAAGTCGCAAAGTAAATTTCTCACTGTTATACAACAACATGTCCTTCAAGTAACTATCTATTAGATATGTCTCGTCGCTATATTTATTTGAGCTAAATTGGAGGAGTTATATATGCCGCTGGGTCTATATTTGCAAAACTTTTAAAATTAAAACAAAAATTAAACACCAGTTCTTGAAAAGGACAGCAGATGAAATTTTCCATTCAAACAAACTTTGCACAAGTACTTGAATCCAAAATTCCAGTGCACGAACACAATTTTTTTTAACAAATATAACTTTCTTTTGCATCTTATACCAATTCTTGGTGGTGTATTCCTGTAAAAAGGCAACGAAAACTAAGTACACATATACTTACCATTCAAAAAAGAAATACATTCCATTAAATGTAAGTAATTGACTAGATGAGACCTTTTGATTCATTAATGACAATTCAGCGATTCGCATGGTAAAGATTTTTTTTCATTAAAAGGAGAAGTCTCTTATTCATGATACACTAAAAGAGCCACGAATTTCACGTACAAGCCATGTGGTGAATTGTTCATCCAAGAAAACCTCATGTACAAAGTCTTTGAGAAACTAGCTAGAAGGTGACTACATCTGTTTTTATTTATTCTAATAAAACAAGAACGAACTACATCTAGGTTGTAAACCAAAAATAAAAGTATAATAACAATGTGATGACATGACAAACTTATTAAAAGACAAGAAATTTCGCTTAAAGCAATGAGAATAAGTGTATTGCAATTGTCAATTTTTTGACATATTTCGTGAGTTCCTATGATTGTTTTTCCCTTTAAAACTTTGAAATCTACGTTACGTTGTCCTCATTAGTCTCTTAAGTGATACGTCCCTAGTGTTGGTACAAGGAGTTTGAACTCTTATAAATTTCTCATACATGCACCTATTCATACAACACAATAATCCATAATTTTGAGTGCTTTTTTGTTAACCTCAAAACATAATACTATGATATTTAAGTACAATGTTAGTGTCGTATTTCTTGTTTTGCTCTCAATTTGGGTTAGCACTGAAGGTCGTAGTATCTCGCAATTCTTAACTGAAGAATCGGAAGGAACCAAATGGGCTGTCCTAGTTGCTGGCTCTAATGGCTGGGAAAATTATAGGCATCAGGTTCATCCTAACTTTTTTTTAGATTGCCTAATATTTTTTTATAATATAATTCTTTGTAAACTTTATAATAGTCCTGAACCGAAAAACCGCACCAAGCCGAAACTAAACCGAAAAATCCGACGAGATTTGGTTTGATTTGGTTTGATATTGAGTAAAAAAACTCAAACCAAACCGGCATATAAATATATAATTTTTATATATACTTTTAAGACTTTATATATAATTTTCTTTAAAACAATATCTAGAATAATTTGATATTCTCTTATGGGATGTAATATTTAATAGAATATGAAATGCTCTATTTTTATTAACTTTAAATAATGTGTTGTATGATCACTTTCTTATCAAGTGGTATTAAAATACGTCAATCTCTTTATTTTTTTATATTTAATTTATATGTCAAGATTTATTATATTCTTATATCTTTTTTCGAATTTGAAGTGGTATTTCGATAATTAAAAATTAAATAGAACTTATCATTATTTAAGTATCATATTGATTTTTATGTTTAATTATTAAATTCGGTTAACTTTGAAAGTGTACATCAACGGAAATTTATTGTCAGACAACTAAAAAAAATAACTATCATGTGTTCCTAAGAAAATTCTCCTATAAGAATATTTTAATAGATCATATGCTTAATTTTTTTAATTTTTATTAAAATTATATTTACTTTTATAAAATTTAACATAGTAAGACTAATATATTATTCATGTAATAAAAAAAACCCGGAAAATCCGACAAAATCAAACCAATCCAAACCGATATAAATGGTTTGGTTTGGTTTTAATAAGAACCTAACCAACCCGGTACATGTACACCCCTACAAATTCAATGTTCAATTTTTACCAGACTCTTCTATTTCTCTTTCTCCTCATTATATTTTATATATAAAAAAATATATTAATTGCTCAATAAGTGGTAAAAGCACTTTGCACATACATGCAAAAAGGATCTTATTGTTTAAATACTTAGCTAGCGTTTGGCCATATGATCTTATTCTGCCCTTTGATTATTGATTCTCCAATGCGTTACTGAAATTCGTTGTACATTTTATTACTCTAAAACTACTTTATAATTAATCCTAATTTAAGATAATTTTAAAATTCTTATATGTCTGTATAGCAAGTTGAAAAATACCCACATTATGAATGTACGTTATCACAAATAAGGCAAACTAGAAATATTTGCAGTTTTAGAAAATACAGAAGTCCATTACTCAGATGATCACTCAACTGTTCAAAATTATGGACTAAAGTCACTTTTCTTTCACTAGTAACAGGAAAGTCACTCAACTATTCTATTATACACAAATGGTCACTCAACCAAAATTATCAAACTTTTAAGTGGAAAAATGTGACATGGCAGTTCATATGAATTTTTTATATTTTTGGACCAAATAAAATAATTAACACCCAAATAAAATATAGAAAATTCACTCATACACCCAACCTTACCCGCTAAAAATAAAAAAATTCACCCGTTAAATAAAATCAAATGCTAAAATGCATCCCTTTTGCAAATGCATCTCTCTTCTTCTTACAAAAGCAATTTTTTTTTTCATGGTTTCACTCTAATCCTTAATCTCGTACTCATTATTATTTTATTAAAAGTAAAAGAAAAATCGTGAAAAGAAGAATATAGCTCATTGAGAAAAGAAGAACACAGGTCACTCTAGTCCTTCGTCCTTAACCTCGTACCCATTATTATTTTATAAAACTCGAGTAAAACCATGAAAAAAAAAAAGGAAGAAAAAGGCTTTTTATGAGAAGAAGAGAGGCGCATTTACAACATGGATACATTTTAGCTTTTGATTTTATTTAGTGGTGGATTTATATTTTTAGTGGGTCGGCTTGGGTGTATGGGTAAATTTTTTATGTTTTATTTAGTCCAAAAATATAAAATAATTATGTGGACTACCACATCACATTTTTCACCGAAAAGTGTGATAATTCGGGTTGAGTGATTATATGTGTGCAGTAAGAATAGTTGAGTGACTTTCCTATTACAAATAAAAGAAAAATGACTTTAGTCCATAACTTTTTATAGTTAGATGATCATTTGAGTAATAGGCTAAAAAATATAGGGATAAACTTTTATAACCTAAATTTCAATAGAGATTCTTTTGCAATTAGCCTTAACTTAAAAAGATCAAAAAATAAACAGAAACAACGGACAAAAAACTTCTCGCAGAAAAGAAAAAAACAAGGTTTCTCCTTTAGCCCTAAATAATATTTCAGTAAAAATTTAACTTATATATGTGACAGTATAAAAAATGTACACTTATCCAAAAGATATCTACAGTTTACCCTCCATAAAGTATGAAATTTATAATACTAAAGATAAGGCATATTACCTTCTATGACAGTTTACAATACCTAATCGTATAAAAATTCTTTACTCAGACTCATATTTTTGAAAATATAAAAGATGTGGTTGACATCAATTTTTAAATACTCTTTTTTAATTTCAATTTGAAATACTTCCCGACTTCATCATTCCTATCCCTTTTTTCTTAATAAACTTTAGGCAGCTAAATTTTAATGAAGATTTTATAATTCAACTTATTATTAAAAGATGAAACACAGAAGGAAATGACGTAAAGAATTTCTCAGAAAACAAAACAAGAATACGTAAATCAAAATAAAAAGGGAAAGCAAACACTATAGTCACCGGCTCACGGGTAGCTATGTTGCTCTTACTCTTAAATGCTGGCGAATTCTTCAAAAACAATTCATATGGGTCCGAGAATCATCAAAATAAAAAGGGAAAGCAAACAATGCCTATAGTCATAGCTATAATGTTGATAGTACATTTTTAATCCACCCCGAGCAACATAGCTGGGTGGGCAGGTGGCAAAGAGAATCTGAGTGTTATTCCTTACATATTTCAGGCTGATGTATGTCATGCTTACCAATTACTAAAGGATGGAGGTCTAAAAGATGAAAACATCATCGTATTCATGTACGATGATATTGCTAACAATAGAGAGAACCCCAGACCTGGAGTCATTATCAATAACCCACATGGCCATGATGTTTACAAAGGTGTCCCCAAGGTTTGTTTTTTGTTCTTTCTGAGTTCAATTCCTTGAAAATTTTGTTTCAAGATTATATAGTGTTTGCTTATGAGGGGTTATTTTTTCTTGATGGAGGCAGGATTATGTGCTTGAAGATGTTAATGCCAACAATTTTTACAATGTTATCCTTGGCAACAAAAGCGCTGTAGTTGGGGGCAGTGGGAAAGTAGTGAACAGTGGTCCAAATGACCATATCTTCATCTATTATACTGATCATGGCGGCCCTGGTGTAGTTTGTAAGTAGCCTCTCTGTATTCTGCATAACTTTTGCCTAGTCTTTGAGTTATGATTATGTCACTCTTAGGAGAAGGGGTTCTTGATTGTCAATTTTTTTGTCATACTTTGGAACTGATTAGAATATGCATAATTATTTCATGCTTTTAATGTTATCAGCAATGCCAAGTGGAGAAGATGTTTACGCTAATGATCTGATTGATGTGTTGAAAAAGAAGCATGCTTCAGGGACATATGACAGACTGGTAACTTGCTTGTTTTAGGTTTTTCAGGCTTTCTTTTCCTTGGCACAAGTTTTGATCAGTGAAAATTTAAGTCTATAGTTTCCATCTTTAGGTGTTTTATTTAGAAGCTTGTGAGTCCGGAAGCATGTTTGATGGTCTTCTCCCTGAAGGTCTAGACATATATGTCATGACTGCATCAGAACCTAATGAAGATAGTTGGGCGACGTATTGTGGTGAGGGTACTCCTGATTATCCCTGCTTGGTTGAGTGTCCCCCTCCCGAGTTTCAGGGTGTGTGCTTGGGAGATTTGTACAGTGTTGCCTGGATGGAAGATAGGTATAAACAATTTTTGTGACCTCTTTCCTTTAGTTAAAGAGCAAAAAGCGAGTTGATGCATTTTATTGATTTTAGGCTTCTTCCCATGTGATCTAGTTTGTTAAAAAAGCCAATATATTTTGCCTCATTAAATGCTAAAAAAATTAAGGTGAGTATGTCATGATCTGTCAATATCAAAATTATAAGCTTGTCACATTGGTAGGAATGAGTACGCCAAGTACAGATTCTTGTATAATCTTCTATAATTCTAGAATGAAGTTTAAAAGATGAATGTCATACTTAGAAGATGACACTGTATTATGTCAAACTAATAACTGTTTGCACTTGTGAACAGCGATGTAACAGATCGAGATGCTGACAGTGTGCAAGGGCAGCATAGCCGAGTAAGAGTTTGTTCTGTTGTGGACAAATATTGCATATGCTTTAAGCAATTTGTTCAAAAAATAGAAGATCAATTGTTATGATTTCATTGTGTTGCTCAGGTTGCAAACAGAACTGCAGCTAACATAACATATGGCGGCTATGGCTCCCATGTCACAGAATACGGTGATATAGTGGTGAGCTTTGATCGACTTTCCACATATATGGGTGAAGCTTCCACAAACCACAGTCATGCCTCTGTGAATGCTATGTCATTCTCGACATCATCAAAGAGTGTGGATCAATACAGTGCTGAACTTTTCTATTTGTTCACCAAAGTATGTTTCTACCTCTTTTTGCAGCACAATTAATATGCTTCTTTTTCCTACACCACATGATTTCTATTCGTTTTTTCCGAATGTTTGCAGCACCAAAATGCTCCTGAAGGGTCTCATGAGAAGTTTGAAGCTCACGCGAGACTTAAAGAAGCTATATCACAGAGAACTCAAGTGGACAACAGTGTAAAACATCTTGGGGAGCTTCTTTTTGGTGTTGAAAAAGGTAATGAGGTACTACACAGTGTTCGACCTGCTGGACAACCACTTGTTGACAGCTGGGATTGCCTTAAGTCCTACGTAAGTATTTAACTTGGCGATAAAAGCAAGATTCTTTGTGGTACTTCAGTTCAATCTTCGTATTTTTTGTTCTTTTAATGAGAATATATGACTACTCTATTCCTGTGAATAGGTCAACATATTTGAGGCACATTGTGGAATATTAAGCTCGTATGGAAAGAAACACATACGTGGTATAGCCAACATCTGCAATGCTGGAATTACGAGTGAACAAATGGCTTCTACATCTGCACAAGCATGTTCAAGTTAGTAGAGGGTACTCTTGGCAAAAGGATATAATGTATGTTTAGCCAGTTTGTGTCATGGCTGCAAAATTTCACTTTTAGTAGATAGCTACACACAGAATAACGCCGCTGAGAAGCAGAAATTTGCCCTTTCACATGTACTAAAGCTTTACTTTATCAATAATGAAGCATTTTGACCTTTTTATTTGTTCACCAAGTCTTGTTCAATATCAGTTGTCTTCTATTTTGAATAGACATGGTTAAGTAGCTTATAAAAAACAAGTTATGAAAGCAAAAAAGAGGAAGAAGACAGATTACCAAAAAGGAAAAGAAGTATTCTGATGTAAAAATATATGCCCCTCTATCATTCTTGAAACATTTTGATCACCCAAATACTGCAGGGTTTCTTTTATAGGTTAGATGCTTTTACTTTTTTGGTAGAACCTAAGATCCTGATTTTGTTTGTACATAACACAGTCAGTGGCGGAGCCAGGATATTTATCAAGGGGAGTCAAAATATAAAGAAACAAACTCACCAAGAAGTCAAGGGGTGTCATTATATAGTATATATACATATTTTAAAAAATATTACCGAGCTAAACAATGTAATTTTTCGACGAAGGGGTGTCAGTTGGGTGCATGTGGCTCCGCCACTGACACAGTTACTTTTTTCGGGCTGGAATATCATAAATGCATATAAAAAGAATCGATTGGGGCAAATTAAGATTCTGTGACTCGGCGTGAAGCCACATTTCTTATATTAAGAAAATATTTGCAGCATACTGTATTATGCTTCTCTCTGTTTTAACCATCTTAAGACTTACTCCTGCAACAATGGCATCTTTGAGAGAGACGAACGTTGATTTTGTTAATTTGGAAAGGACTATTGGAGGGACTTTCATGCAGTAATAGAAAAAGAGGCTCTTCTTGCAACCTTCAATATGATTTATGTTCTCACCACTCCAAAGCTTGAATTACTAGGCAAGTGAAAAACTGTATGTTCTATAGGGCATATCCGCGGGTCTATGTAAAACATACTATAATGCGATCAGCACAAAAGGACTATTTGACAAATTGGAGAAAAAAAATACATGAAAGAAGACACGAATAAGTAAAGAAGTCTCTTGTGACTTGTTTTCTCAATTGTAAGTTGAGTGATGGTAAGTCTTTCATGACATAAATTTGCTAAATTTGAGAGGACTATTAGTAACTTTGAACAAATAGGATGCATATGGATAATACCATCAGTATTTGGTCTGTCATTCAGAAGCTTGCTCTGTCATGAAATGACCTTTTTTCTAATTCAAAAGAAAGTCAAGCTTATATTCCCTTCCAAACATAGTTTGTTCAGGCAAAGCTTTTGCATAGTAGGAGTTCTATACAATGATGACGAACTATAACAATAGTTACAATAAGATATCTGCTTCGAGTACATTTCAACTCAATAATGATGCGCTTCTAACCTGTATTTACAAGGAAGCAATTATGCTTAAGAACCATCTTACAATCACTATATCAATCTTCGTACTGATAATCTCGACATATTGAGCATTAGATGCCAATCATGCACTAAAACCCCTGTGGAGGGAACTCCAAGTATTGGATGGAACGCTGGGGCAAGCTTGTGCTGATGCCTCCACCATCTGCTCCTTCTTAATTCCAGCGTTGCATATGTTAGCAATAGAGCGCATATGTTTCATTCCATACTGGGATAACGATCCACAATGTGTCTCAAACGTTCTTACCTGTACAACACAAGGATTAAGAAGTCATATTGCCGAAAAATATAAGCCATAAAACCATCCAAACTAACGATACATCCAATACAAATGATTTGTTCCACATACCCCACATATTCAAACACGCTACAAAAGAATAAAGTTTCCTTCCCACCAGCAAATTCTACAGATATTGATGATAATGGGGTGTGTACTTACAAAGGATTTAAGGCAGTCCCAGTCATCAACAAGAGGCTGACCAGCAGGGCGGACGCCACTCAGCACCTCTGGACCTTTTTCAATTCCAAACAGAAGTTTACCGACAAGGGCTACGCTGTTGTCCAAGTGCACTCTATGTGATATTGCTTCATTTAACTGTTTTTGAGCCTCAATTTTCCTAACAGAGCCTTCAGGAGCCGTGCGGAACTGCCAGTTTGGACAAACAGGGAAGTCAGATATGAAGAGTTTTCTTTGTTCAGGGGCAGAAGGACTACTCTACGACAGTATGACTCAAGAAACTGGTAAACTAAGCACCAATTTTCATTCAGCAGTGCATAAATAAGGAAGTAGAATCATGCTTTTCAGATTAAGCTCTTTCTCTGCACTGCATTTCAATGACAATATTACTTATGATTCGGCATAATTTTGGCAGTAGAAGCATCATTTTGGCAGCTTAACCTCAGAAAAAGTGTGCTTTAAAAAAAAAAAAAAAAAAAAAAAAAAAACTAACCTCAAAACATAAAAGAGCATAATAATACGCCACATTGGCTCTTTTGAACCATAAAAAAAACTTTAATTTCAAGATCCCTATAGCTTTGCTTGATTAAAGATATTTTAATTCAACTTACGACCACCTCAGTATACATTCAATTGATCCAGTTGATATCTGAAATGCTCAACTCTGAACTATTCGATGGTGAGTTACTAATCAAAAAAGAAACAGAAAGTAAAAAAGGATCACATGGCGAGGAACATCAGATACAAAATTTCAGTATTTCTTTGACCTGAACATTATGTAGGGGGCCTCTATAGTAGTTATGCCACCTCAAAAATGGTGATCAAATAAAGTACTCATTGGCACCTAAAGGTGCCTGCTTTTATAGATGATATTACCACCAGCTGATGCGCATTTATTTCCTGCCGTTTTACAGGTGTAGGTAAATTACTTCTTTCATCCTTGGGATACTAACGTCTACCATAAAAACACATATAAACTTGGAACATACCTTGTGCCAGAAATGCAGAAGATCTGCATCACGCTGGTTGACAGCCTTTGATACTCGCAATGAATTGTCATCCATAAAAGTATAATTATCATTTGCAGGATTTGTACCCATATATAAGTATAGAGCATCCTTGCTGAGATGTAGATCACCATATTGCATGACATGTGAACCATAAACAGGATTCCCAGTAGCAGTTCTCTCTTTGACCTGCAAAAACCAGCATTAAAGATGATTACAGCACACAATTCTTTAATGGCATCATTAAAAAAAAGTGCAACATTCGTTATTATTCACAGCAAGAACCAAATCATCAGAGTATAAAAACATCCACCTCCCCCCTTGTTCCTTTCTTTCACTTTCACAACAGAGAAGTATTGGCTTCACTTTCTAAGTTCTTCATTTTACTATAAATTTGAATTTTTCTGCTGAAACATGCACTCTATTAGATTACCACAATTCTCCACGTCTATAAGATCTTACCAGGTGATATTGCTGCTTCAGACTTTCAGTCCGCAGGTTGTGTAATTCACTGCTCAGGCACAAAGATACACAGTCAATAAAAAATTATGCTGCTTAAACTAATAAAGATAATTTCATAAGTAGATTTATAGTTATAACAACTATGCCTTAATCTCAACTAGGTGGGGTCGCTAATTAGCATATTCATAATTCCATAATAAGAAAAGTTGAACGTGAAGGAATAACAAATGGAAAGAAATCATCATAAAGTCTTGAGCAGTAACTTGGGAGTTCTATAATCTCCATTATAGAGTTCAAGAATGTCTTCAATTTCTATGGCAATGATATTTATAGGACTTGACAAACTCAAGTTTTTTCAAGCATAGCTGTCTGCAGATACAGAAGTTGAGGATGTCTTTATGTATGGCATTGATATTTATAGGACTGACAAACTCATGCAAAGCAAGTAGGACTAAAAAAAGCGGACACATTTGACAAATATCATAGCCAAAAATCACATCTTAAACTCAAATTTCTTATAGCTGCTTCACATGGTATTCATGTAATGACAGACAAGAAAATGCAGAAGATGAAGGTCAGATAAGGTACATATACCTGTCCTCCATCCAGGAAATACTGTACAAGTCACCAAGGCAGGTCATGTATTCAATAGGAGGACTGGGATACTCTCCTGGGCAATAGGTTCCCCAGCTACTCTCTTCAGCATTTGATGCTGTTGTGGCATAGATATTTAAACCTTCAGGAAGAAGACCCTCAAATATACTACCAGACTCGCAAGCTTCAAGGTAAAATACCTGCAAATAGACAAAGAAAAATTAACTTAGAGAATGAAAAAGGAAACCACAAATATATGAATCTAGAGCAGTAGGAGTTGGAAGGAAATATAACAGCTTACCAAGCTTTTATATGTACCGGAAGCATGCTTCTTCTTCAACACGTCAATAAGATCGTTTGCATAGAGGTATGGATCGGTAGGCATCCCTGGATCCATGACAGTGTAATTAGTATAAGAAGTGAAGGAACTATAATATATTGTTCCTGCAATTTAAAAAGACCAAGCAAATGCGAAACAATTGAGGCACATCATGCCTTAAACACTTTGGTCCAACAAAATATGTCCAGTTTCAATTACATCCATCTACAAGAATACCAACTTACCCATGATCCATACAAATGATAAACCTCCATATACGACAGTGATTTCTAAAAGGGAAGATTGCTCATAAGAGACATAATAAAGCAACAAAAATGAGACAGATTGTTTATATAGCAGCCTATATCATATTCAAAAATAAAAAAATGTTAATATTAATTGGGAAAGGATGATTAATCATAGGAATGTCACTCGACAAAGGAATACGCTAGTGAAGTCAAGAAAACTAGTAATCGCCCTACTGACTCAATTAGTAAAGTCGACTGCCCTATGTTTCCAATCAATAGCAATTTTCCAAACATTTACTGNAGGAGTTGCAATTGAGACACAGTGAATTGATTGTTTTATTGGAGGAAGATGCTATTTTGCAACAATTATTACCCAAATAGTATTATTTATATAACTTGTTTGTATTAAGAAAGAAGACCTTTCAATTTCATAGAAGCTGCATACATAAGCTACAATACAACTAAAACACCTTCTTCATCAGAAACCAAGAAAATGACCCCTTACACCCAAGCATAACACGGTGGCAGTGTCCGTGCATAATTTGGTAAATATTGAATTACCGTACAAAAATCAAAAAATTTGGTATTTTATATGGTATTTAGTTTAAGTTTTAAAAATAATTGGTATTAGGTATGGTATTTGGTATTTTAAAATAAAATACCGAAATATATATTATATTACACAATACACATATTATTAATTATAACATAAATATAAAAAATCTAAAATTTTACTTTTCTTTATTCTCTAACTACATCAATTAACTCTAAGCAAGTAACAAGCCATTTCTAATGATCAAATTTATTCCTTTATGCACAGTTTTCTCTCTCTGGTTGATATTTGCTGGTTTTGGACAAAACTTTTGTCTAACAAACGTTTTTAGTTTTGTACTTTTGAATACTTTGATTAAGAATATTACAGTCTGACTCTATGCACCGGTTAGTATTCAAACCGAATAAACCGAAATTAGCGAACCGAATAAACCGAAAGGAAAAAAACCGAATCATACCGAATTTAATTAGGTACGATATTGGTATATCATTTTAAGAAACCGAATATCGAAAATATCTAACCGAAATATCTAAATAGCGTAACGTACCGACCGACTAACACGCCTACCCACACCAGCTTTCTCGAAACTGGTTCTAATTAATGGATTATATTAAATGGAAAGAAATTTAAGGAAAATTGCACACTTTCTTTTTAGCTAGTTACTAAAAATTACTTCTTTTCTATAATTATAAACTATTTAGCTTTAAATTTTTTATTTGTCCTTAATGAGACAATTCATAACCACAAAATATTTATAATTTATTTTAAATCACAAATTTCAATTTTACTTTCTTAAAATTCATTGGAGTCAAACAATACCACATAAACAGAGTGAGTATGGGAGAAATATCTATTGCCGAGGTTGGGCCCACACCTGACATCCACACTAACATGTCTTATCTTGCCTTCCTAAGTCATAATTACGCCAAAAAAGGAAAAGGTCACGCAACAACGAGAATTAAGAAACTTCGCTCTTGTGTGGTTGTCAGTTGTCAAATGTCCAAATTTTCAGTTGAGAACTAAGACTCACCTTCAGCTTTTATAAAGTACAATAAAGTTACATTAAATAATACCAGCCTGTTTGGCCGACCCAAAGAAATCCGTTTATTCTGAGAATTATTTATTTATTTATTTATTTTTATTTTTTTTGGAAAAAAATACTTTGTGTTTGACTAATCACTCTGAAAAACACTCTTGAGCAATAATTTATGTTTGGCTAAGCTTTTCAGAAAATGCTTTTAAGTATCAAATTACGAATAAGGACATGAATAGATTTATTTAATAGTTAATATTATAAGTAAATAAATAATCTTACAAATTTATTATTATAAAAAATAATTAAATCTTTTTATTTTATTTAAGTAAAATATGAAAATAAAATTTAAAAGTACTTAATTCTTTTAATATAAGTTAAATATATTAAAAATCATTCAACAACATTCACCCCTAAAGTCATTATATATTAAAAAGTTATCCTAAAAATAATAAGAAATATTTATACATTAATATTCTATGTATTAGGTTTAACGGTTATTTTGGTATATAATATATTTTGTTAAGGGTATTTTTGGTAAGAAGAAAAATCAAAACTGCTTCTATTTCTGCTTTTTGAAAAGAATCTACTTTTTCCTGCTTCTCAGAAACTACTTCTGCTTCTTCCAAAAACACTTTTTTTTCCTCAAAAAAACTTGGCCAAACATCTTAAATTAGGAAAAAAGTGTTTTTGAAAAGAAAAAAAAAAAAAACACTTTTGACCTTTTAAAAGCTTGTCAAACATGCTATAAGTCTCATTTCTAAATTTTAACATGTACTTACGTTATAAACTTTTCAGTTTTACAATTTACGTCAAACAAAAATAAAATATATATGTGTTGTGTGTATCTCCATACGTTGTAACATCTTTTATAGTTTACCAAAAGTATGCGTCCACTAACTCTGTTTACCAAAGTTTGAAGCAATTGAGCTCCAAACTCACACTTAATTTAGTGTTATAACTATGATTTGCCCTGAAATATTCATGTTGATACACTTATATATAGTACCTAAACCATTCAATATATAATCTCCTTAAAGGAAATGAAACAAAAGCAAAAAAAATAGAATTATTTATAGGAAAAAATAAGTAAAAAAATTATGTAGGATAAATAGAGTGGATAATCAGACCTGGTGGCGGTAATTCCAATAACCGTTTGATCCGGCTAGCAGAATAGCCCATCTAGTACCGACGGAGTCGTCATCATGATCGCCGGCGTTACTCTCATCGGCACCGAAGAATCTAGAAACTTCTGACGGAAGTTTCAAAACATTACGGCTCTCTGAAACGGCGACGTTAAGTGCGAGTCCAATTAGGAACAGAGTACCGGCGACGTAACGAATCATTATCGGCTCCCGTGATACAAGAAAAAAGAAATAAATGGAGGAGCTGTTACACAAAATGTTTCGTCATTGGATACGTAAATTTATAGAGTTTGATTATAAGAATATTCATTGATATGACGTGTACGGCTGAGATTCAGTCGGCTTGGATTTGATTTTTGATTGGACCATGGCTAGTTGGTTGGTCCCTCTAGCTGTCTTTAAATGGACCTACTATGATTTATACTTTCTTTTCTTTTACGTAGCTGCTGATACAACCTCTTGTTTGCTCTTTTCTTTCAGTAATTAATTTCCTCTTTTTCTTTTCTTTTTTTATTATTATTAGAATCTGGACTGTTTTTGCGATATTGTTCAAAATAGTTCCTCTTGTTCTATGGTAATATAAGATTGGAGTTTTAGGAATTTAGGGACTGATCGGTTTGGTATAAATATTCACACTAGCAGAGGCGGATCTTGAATTTAAGTTTTATGGTTCAACCTGAAAAGTTATTAGTATTGAACTCATTATATTTTTAATATTACGGGTTCATATTGCTATATATTGCAATATTATTAAATTTTTACACATAAATTTATGATGCGCGCCAAAAGTACTGGGTTTAATTGAACCCGATATCAAGCCTTGCATCCGCCTCTGCACACTAGGAACCTTTTTCTAAGTTCCTCGGAGGTCAAAAATATTTTTTTTGGTCAAAAAGTACTCTTTGAAAAATTTAAGGTGTTGGGTCAAAATGAAAAAGTACTGGCATTTTTTTTTGCTTTTGGGGAGAAGTTATAAATTCCAGCTTCTTCCAAGCAGAAAATTAATTTATTCAAGATAAATAACCTAACAATAAATTTATAATTTTTAAATTTAATATTTAATATTTTTCTTTTCCTTTTCTTTTTATTTCTACTATACATTTCTTCACTTTTTATTTTAGTCATATTCTTATTCTCTTACTCCTATTCCTACAAGTAGATTTTAAATTTATATTGAATGATGTATTTTAATATATTTAAATTATCATGTAAACAATAAGTAATACCAAACACTCAATGTTATTGCTTTGGAATAACGATTTTTTATATTAACTGAAATTTTAATTTATATTTTTACTTTACGTTTTATATTTTAATTGAATTATTTTATAATAAATGTTTAAATTTATTTTTCTTTTCTAAATAATACTAATCACAAATTGAATTCTTACTGTCCTTTTTCGTAATTTGATTGGTAAAAGTATTTTTTTTAAAGATTGACCAAACATAATGAGCTTGCAAAAAGCACTACTCAAACGAATTGGCCAAACACAAACTATTATATTGCAAAATTACTTTTTCAAAAAATAACTTTTCAAAATAAACAGTTTTGATAGCTTGGCCAAATGGGCTCTAAAGCTGAAACGAAAAAAGCATTATATTTTTGGAAAATGGCCAAATATATCCCTCTACTTTCGGATATTGTCTACATTTAACCTTTGTTATACTATACGGCCAAATTTACCCTTACCGTTATACTATTTAGCCAAATTTACCCATACTATTAGCAAACTTTTAAAAATTACCACTCAGTTCGTCAGGTGATTCAGAATCTCCCACATTATTTTAAATAAGTCTTTTATTCTTCTTCTTGATCCACTATTTTTAAAATAATTGATAATTTACCTGCTTTTTAAATTGAAAAGAATAAGAGAAATAAATATTAAAATAATATAACAATTAGTAAACAAAGTATAGTAAATTGAAAAATCTAAATTACGTAGCTTGTCTAAATTTTAAAAGTATTTACAACACCCCAAATTTAATGAATTCGTTGCACCAAAGGTATGGAGACTTTGCAAGTATTAGTGATAGAAGTTGAAATTCCTTAGAGACTTTATATTATTGAATTCAACTTTGCTTTAATCAAATGTCTATGCATTGTGCACTCTTAAGTTAGTCGATCGAACTCTACATCAACCAGACAATAACAAAATATATTCGAATATACATGTACATACACGATGAGTAGTTGCATATAAGACACAATAACTAGACCCACTAAATTGGCGCCCACCGTGTGGCTAAGGATAATAATGATTATTTGATACAAATCTCCATAACACATACTGCTTTACACTTACTCTTTGAAGTGTCTTTGATTTCAGGCTAAAAATGACAAACTCTTAATTAGCACCTCTACATATCGACAACGAGTCCGGTCATCAAGGTAAGAATAACAACATGACTCCCGGTAACACAGGGCCACCCACTGATATCGTTGGAATTCGGACTGCGGATTCGATAAATGTAAATTACATGTGGCCATCGCAGCAAACTTGTTTGCCGACCCTGAAAATAACATCCGTGGTGGAGCCCGATTAGCAGCTTGAAACACACATAACATTAAAAAAGATGGGATCAGCCTACACATGATCTTCGAAATGCTGCAAGATCAATATGTGGCTATAACTAAGTTGCAGAGCCAAACCCAAGCACCGAGCAGGGTTGAACCCGATCCGCCCCAAGAAGTCACTCGTAGAACAGAACCAGCCGTGATAAGATCGAATGAACAAGAGTCGGGGACTAACCCCGAAATTATAAAAATGCTCGAGAAACTGACAAAACGGATATAGTCAGGGAAAAAAAAGTTCAAAGCAACGATAAAAGGTTGAAACCTATAATTCTAGGGTAGATCAAATCCCAGGAGAGCCTCCGATACTGAAGGGACTGGACTCCAAGAAGTTCGTGCAAAGACCTTTTCCTCCAAGCGCGGCCCCAAAACTAATCCCCAAGAAATTTTGTATGCTCGAAATACCTAAGTACAACGGAACGACCGATCAAAACGAGCATGTAACCTCTTATACACGTGTCATCAAAGGAAACGACTTGGAAGACGACGAAATCGAATCTATTTTGCTGAAGAAATTTGGGGAGACCTTGTCGAAGGGAGCCATGATATGGTATCACAACCTACCTCCTAATTCTATTGACTCATTTTCTATGCTTGCAGATGCTTTTGTAAAAGCACATGCTGGGGCCATCAAGGTCGAAAACAGGAAATCGAACCTTTTCAAGGTCAAACAAAAAGACAACGAGATGCTCAGGGAATTCGTGTCCCATTTTCAAATGTAACGAATGGATCTGCCATCGGTCGCTGATGATTGGGCTGTTCAGGCTTTCACTCAGGGACTCAATACTCGAAGCTCGGTGGCTTCACATCAATTAAAGCAAAACCTGATGGAATACCCCGTCGTTACTTGGGACGATGTACACAATCGGTATCAATCAAAAATTAGAGTCGAAGATGATCAACTCGGGGCACCTTCAGAGTCTATATATCCTTCCAGGACTCTCGATAGAGCCAGGAGAGACATCGATTGTGAACCAGAATCAAACATGGATCGATATCGGCCCTATAATAGAGAGCGGAGGAACATTGGGTCCGGGCGGAACCCCATAAGAAACAAAAGAAGAAATGACCAAGGTCGAAACAACCGGGGGCTAATGACCAAAATGGTTTTGACAGGCCCACCGGGCCTAAAGAAGCGCCGAGACTATTAGAGTACAACTTTAATGTCGACGCGACTGCCATCGTATCAGCCATCGGGCGAATCAAGGATACCAAATGGCCTCGACCTCTGCAATCCGATCCAGCTCAAAGAGATCCCACCCAGGTATGCAAGTATCATGGAACTCACGGTCATAGAACGTAAGACTGTCGACAACTAAGAGAAGAAGTGGCCCGACTATTAAACAATGGGCACATTCGAGAGTTCTTGAGCGACCGGGCTAAGAATCATTTCAGGAACATGGATTCTAACAAACATACGGAACAAGAAGATAACGAACCTCAACATGTAATTAGTATGATCATCGGTGGAGTCGATATCGCATGGGAGCCAATGTCGAAACGAACCGGAATCTCCACCACCAGGGAGAAACGAACCAGAGACTACATACCGGAAGAAGTCTTATCCTTCAGCAACGAGGATGCAAAAAGGATCATACAACCTCACAATGATGCACTGGTAATATCTGTACTCGTAAATAAAACTAGAATCAAATGTGTGCTAATTGATCCAGGTCGCTCGTCCAACATTATTCGGTCGAAAGTCATAGAGCAGCTCGGTCTATAAGACAAGATTGTGCTAGCAGTCCGAGTCCTAAATGGGTTCAACATGGCATGTGAAAACCACCAAATGAGAGATAACGTTACCGGTCAATATCGCCGGAATCGTACGATTGGCCAAGTTTTATGTAATCAAAGGGGACATGAGGTACAACGCCCTTCTCGGAAGGCCATGGATCCACCACATGAGGGCAGTACCCTAAACTCTTCACCAAGTGCTAAAATTCCTAGTCCCACGGGGGATCAAGACAATCTATAGTGAACAACCGACCATAAAAGATATGTTCGCCATCGAAGAAGTGGTTCCGATATCAATGCTCACAACACCGAAGGAACCGAATTCTGGCGCCGACCCAAAGGCCAGATAGCAATTACCGATTCCGATCACGATCCAATCAGATAAGCAAAAGACTTACGAAGACGATGATTACGGGGTTCCCCGATATTTTATAATCCCCAATGACTCCGACGCAACCAAATCGACGATCGAGGAGCTGGAACATGTTGTATTAATCGAGCGTTTGCCCGATCGAAAGGTATACCTGGGCACAGGACTAATTCCCGAGCTCAAAATTTTTTTTATTCAATTTCTTATAGTTAACATAAATTATTTTGCTTGGTCCCATCTTGATATGACTGGGATCCCACCATAAATAACCACTCACAAACTAAGCATGGACCCAATTATTAATCCGGTCAAGTAGAAGAAGAGGCCCCAGTCCGAGGTCACACATGTTTTCATCAAGGACGAGGTAGCTAAACTCCTAAAAATAGGGTCCATTCGAGAGGTTAAATACCCGGATTGGTTAACAAACGTAGTGGTAGTCCCTAAAGAAGTGAGTAAACTAAGAATGTGTGTAGATTACAAAGATTTGAATAAAGCATGCCCCAAAGACTCTTTTCCTTTGCCCAACATCGATCGTATGATCGATGCCACGGCCGGCCACGAGATTTTCAGTTTTC